AACACCAGTTCAAAGTCAAGCAGCGCGCCACGACAGTTTCCGTGCAACACTACACTACACCCTCCCTCCTTCGAGCGCCGTCCCCGGTGCTACCCCGTAGCCCCCTCAGCCGATACTTCAAGTTCACGAGCAACCACTGGTGATGAATCTGCCCTCTCTGACTCAATTGACTCAGCTTCTCGTCTACATGGTTTGAGGCGATTGAAATGGACAACTATAGGTTGACTATTAGGGTTGTTACGATCCTTTATCATGCAGGTGGCCTCAGAGAGCACTCGTTCTACCGTATATGGACCCGTCCACTCTCTGTGAAACTTTGCCGGCACTCCTGATGCTTGAGGTTGGTGTAACCAAACTAAATCACCAAATATCAGGGGTACGCCAAATACCTTCTTGTCGTAATATTCCTTCTGACGTCGGTGTGCATTCCCTAAATGCACTCGTGCTGACTGATGAGACTGCCAAAGGGAGTCTAACAACTTGCTAACATATTCCATAACCGATGACTGTAGCTGTTGTGTCATCGGTAGACGTAGATCCGAAGGTAATCGTGCCTCTCTTCCTGTCCACATAAGGAATGGTGTCTGTCCCGTCGATGAATGTACTGTGCTCCTGTATGCAAGTAGGCATCTGGGCAACACGTTGTCCCACTCATTGATATTCCTGTCCGCGAAGGCCTTCAGCAACGATTTAAGCGAACGATTTGTTCTTTTCACTTGCCCATTTCCTTGAGGATGATACGCTGTGGTTCGAGTTTTGTCTTTCCCAAGTAACCCACAAACTTCAATTACCAGTGAGCTCTCAAAGCACGATCCCTTATCCGAGTGTAGCTGCCCTGGTGCACCCCAGTGGCAGACCCAATGATTTACCAAAGCTGTTGCCACAGTGGACGTATCCGCCTGTCTTATCGGTATAGCCTCGCACCATTTAGTAAAGTAATCGATCATGACCAAAATAAAGCGATTACCTCTTGGCGTCTCAGGTAAAGGGCCTATGAGATCCACTCCTACTATCTCATTAGGATAGCCGGCCACCATGGGCTGCAAGGGTGCACGATGAACGATACGAGGGTTTTTAAAGGCACCACATTCTTCGCATGCTTGACAGTAGTTGATCACATCTCTCCGTTGATGGGGCCACCAGAAACGTCGTCTAACCGATTCGTCCATTTTCTTGATCCCTGCATGTCCCATTTCCTTGTGTAAATCGCTCAGTACTTCCCTAACCATAGAATGCGGGACGATGATTCTTCTCGTGTACGTCGGTCCGAAATTGAAAACTAAAACTCCTTCTTCGGTGGTCAGGTAATCCCACATGGACCAAAGGCAACGAGCTTCGTAACTTTTCATTTCCATCTCTTTACTCGTTGGTTTATCGCCGCCATTAAGACGCCTCTCGTAGATCAGTGGGGTATCGGGATCGTTCGCCTGTGCCGTTTGCCACCGACCATACTCTGCTCCTTGAAGATTGACGATTGCTACGTGTTGCGTATTACACGAAGGGCACTCTCCATGGTTACGAGGGGGAATTCGTGACAATGCATCAGCATTAGCGTGTTGCTTACCGGGGCTATGTCTGCACTCAAAGTCATATTCCTGCAATTGCTCTTGCCAACGCGCGATTTGGCATTCGGGGTCTTTAAAATTCTGCAGCCACCGAAGTGACTGGTGGTCTGTGCGGACCAGAAACTTTCGACCTAATAGATAATGTCGGTTTTGTTTGATGAAATATACCAATGCCAGCATCTCCTTCCTAGTCGTGCAGTAATTTCGCTCCCTCGGGCTGAGACTGCGACTACAATATGCCACGACTCGTTCGACACCATCCGATCCCAGTTGTGATAACACCGCTCCAATCGCCTTATCACTCGCATCAGTATCCAAGATAAACTGGCCAGCAGACGGGGACAAATCGGGAAATATTAGCAAAGGGGCCGTACAGAGAGATTCGCGTAGGTGATTGAAAGCTTCTGCGCACTGCTTCGACCATTCGAACATGCGACCCTTCTCTGGCAATGAGTGTAATGGGGCTGCAATGGATGAGAAGTTTCGAATAAATCGCCGATAATATGATGCTAACCCGAGAAAACTACGTAACTCCTCCGTAGTGGTTGGCGTTGGCCACGACCTGACCTGTTCAGCCTTTACCGGGTCCGTTCGAATACCATCTCCAGATATCATGTGCCCTAAGTACGCCACTTCCCTTTTCAAGAGATGACACTTTGAGGGCTTAAGCTTTAATCCCACCCTCAACAAGCATTCCAAAACACTAGCCAAATTGTCCAAGTGTTCACCTTCCGTCTTTCCATGTACGATGACATCATCCAAATACACGAGGCATTTACGCTGGATCAGGTCAGCTAATGCTTTTTGCATAAGGCGTTGGAAGGTAGCTGGAGCGTTAGATAAGCCAAATGGCATGGTCTGAAACTCGTACAACCCAGAGGGCACGACAAAGGCGGTTTTCGCTCTATCGCTCTCTTCTACTTCCACCTGCCAATACCCGGAAGCCAGGTCAAGTGTGCTAAAATACACAGATCCGCCAAGTGAGTTGAACAGATCGTCGATCCTTGGGAGTGGGTAGGCGTCCTTTCGAGTAGCCTCGTTCAATCTTCGGTAATCGACGCATAATCGGAAGCCACCGTCCTTTTTCTTTACAAGGACAACCGGAGATGCCCACGGGGAGTTGTAGGGTTGGATAACGTTCTTCTCTAACATCTCATCTATCAGCTTCTGTATCTCACCCTGCCAGTGGATTGGAATACGTCACGGAGGCACTTTAATTGGTCTAGCCACACCAGTGTCAATAGAATGTTTCACGAGGCCGGTCCGTCCCAAGTCGCCGGATTTCCATGCAAAGGCATCTGAATAATTTTGTATGAGCTGCGCTAATCGTGCCTGTGTTAATGTGTCAGCTGAAAGCCCAATCGACCGAATAAAATCGTCTACACATTGTTGCTCTTTGACACTGCACTCATATAACGTAAAATCCTCAAAATTGCTGTTGCTGCTTGCTCTCAGTAGTATGGTGCACGAATCAGTGATTAGTTGGGACTTCTCCAGGTCACGTCAGCATTTTAACCTTTTCAACAAATCTATTCCGATAATAACATCGAACGGTATCCGATCAGCAACGATAAATTCATGGTTAAACCTTGTGCAGGCTACAACAACGGGGGCAACGATGGAATTCCGAACAACTAGTGGTAACCCGTTGGCCGCGGTAAGGCGAGCGTTACAAGGTTTTCTAACACAGTTTGAGAAGCTCCTACTCACGCTGGCCCTGATTAGGCTTCTAGCTGCGCCAGTATCCACTAGCCCCAGTAAGCAAATCCCAGCTATCGATAATTCTAGTGTTAGCGACGTCACAATCGAGTTGCAAGTAAGAGATGGTATCACAAATAATGTCATGGTATGCTCACCTGGCGTGTTCCTGTAGCGAGACGATCCGCGGTATGACGTTTGTCTGCGGGGCCAACGAAAACCTGATTGTGCCGGTCGTCGTGGGGCAGGATATCTCTGAAAACGGCCGGGATTTCCCGTCATTCTTTCAGGTCGGACGCCTCTATGTCGTGTGTTTCCTCTTACCGCAAAACAGCCAGATGTAGGCGTACCCATGGCTGCATCTATGTCTTCCAAATGGTCACTTGTTTCCAATGCCTCGTCCAAACGGCGTGGAGGGTATCGCAGGAACTCCCTTTTAATAGACGGCGTTTGAACGCCCTCTAGGAGTTGTCCTAAGACCAGCTTTTCACGTTCATCTGGCGTTTCGTTCTCGTATGCGATATCGGCCATCCTCTGCAGTTCGCGAACGTATGTGCGTATGGTTTCCGCCGGATATTGGTAACGTGCATGGAATGCCCTGCGTAGGGGCGCAGGTAGACCGGGGCGGGCTAATAATCGGCGCATGGCGGAAAAAGTCTCGGTTGTAACTTCTTTCTCCAAAAGTTTACTGTCTGCAACGATATCAAAGGCCTCTCCCGAGAGCAGACCGGCGAGCACAGCTGCCTGTTGGTTGGATGGGAAATGACGCAGATAAAACTGGACTTGCTTTTCCCATATGGGGTACAGCATCCCCAGGGTAAAACGTTCTGGCGGCGGGATAGATGGCATGCTGGTTGAAGAAGTTGATGAAGTCGACATTTGCTGCAAAGTCCGTGATAACATATCGAGCGAAGCGGCGAGCTTTGTTGTCGGATCATTAGCGTCAAAATTAGTTTCGTCATCGGCTTTATTGGTTGTCTTCGGCATTATCTTCGTTAGACCAGTGATACAGGATTCCTGATGAACGTGCCTCGGCAGGGTCGCCAATATTGTAGTATACAAGCTTGGGAGAACTCCGGAGATTGGAACTGGAGATTTATTAAGCAACACGTAGCAAACTACAATAGAGGAAATAATGTTATAAAAAAAGGAAGATAAACGTTACAGTCAATCTTCTTCTGCTTGCACTTCTTCCGTTAAAGCACACGACCAGGTTCCTGCAAGGCAAATGAAAGCGCAGCGTAAACACCAGTTCAAAGTCAAGCAGCGCGCCACGACAGTTTCCGTGCAACACTACAATACTAACAATAGACAGATGGCCGTCAAACTGCGCAGTAGTTGATCTGCACACAAAACCTAGCCCACCCAAAATAACTTCGCCTAACCAATTGGTTAAATGACGTGTACCGTTGTAATAATTAATCAGTTACAATGCGTTGTGCATATCCACTAAGCATTTGTTGCTCAAGATTAAGTTAACTAAGTGTCATGCAATTGGAATAACGTTTATTCACAAACAGGAAGGTCGTCCTGCTTGCTTCCGATACGCTACGATTGCTGCTACGTTTGTGTTAAAAAGGGCAGCTGAACTGAAGTGAGGAAAAATGCGTCTCATCTTAGATCAGAAAAGGAGCTGAAAAGCTACCGTAAAAATAGTAACGTGCAGCGTATCTTTTCAAAGTGAAGTGCTTACTCCTTAGTTTCCTGGATCAAGCCGACCTTGAAATTGTGGTTTCCATGGAAAGCAACAAGCAGATGAATTCCAAAGGCGTTATTCACTTCACAAACGCACAGCTGAGTGCGATCGATGAGTACGAGGAATACAGAAGGTTACGGCTTTATTTAAACATCTTCTTCGCCATCAGAATTGTTGGAGAGGACGATGGAGGCGTACTTTTCACACCAAAACAGTATGAAGAATACAAGCAAAAATACATTCCATTAGTAACTTGCTGACTTACTAACGCCATCAAAGCGCATGAAAAATAGAATTTTTATATCATGGGTTAGTCCGAAAGATATTGATTGCATTTTAGCGGGACCTCAAAGTGAGTGCTTCTGTCAACACCGGTGAGTTTCACATAAACGTATATTTACAACTACTACAAGGGAACATTTTACTGACAGCCGGATTGTATGCTGGCTCATCATCGCTTTCCACTTTCTGGTACCCAAATAGCACATGTTGCCTATAGGTCCTGATTGATGTTATATCAGTTTTCCACTCTCAAAACACTCATGTTTGTGGAACTGGGCTTTTCACCTAAGCTGCATGACAAAGCTTAACCACGCGCCACGTGATATACAGCACGGAATATACACGCCACGTCAGAACAGCATTTTGACTTCTGTATATTACCACCTCGGCGTCGAAGCACGTGACATTTAGGAATGCACTTAGCTCGCATTCACCCTGATAAATCTGTGGCATAAAGACTCGCAACACAACATCACGGGAACGAGCAAACAACTGTCGTGTGCATTCCAAGTGCCCAAGCCTTAACGCATCCAGTCGCAACGCAATTTAATATGAACGGAACTCACAGCTGTCCTAAAAGCACACGGCATAAGCCTCTGTTGTATATTGTTGCTGCGTGCACAATATTATTATTCTATTGGTGCCTAGCTGTCTAATATTGTAACTAGTCACGATTAAAGCAGCACTAATATTGGCATCCCAAACTACTATGAAAGGGATAGGCTGAACAGGACATGTATGCGGCCTGTGAAACGGCGCAAACTAACCACAGTTTTAATAGCTTATCTAAATGGAACAGTTAGAGTGCCTGCTTGCCTGTTTTTGATGTAGGAATTCGTCTATGCGTTGTATGCACGACCCTCCATCTGTATTCTAAGAACGTCTAATAACACAACGCCAAAACATTTTATAAGCTAACTATGAATGACAACGCTGAGGCTTGTAATCTTTAAGCCAAGTGTCTGTTCATCCTTTGAGTAATAAATCTTCTGAGCGACAGATCAGATGTTGGTACGCTGCGTCATCTCATGCACAAGCTGGTGCGTTGGGAGTCTAGGGACGGAGGGCAGATAATCAGTATGTAATGCCAGTTACTTTTGTAAGAGGTTTACCGAACTACTCTTGTTCATTTCATTTAAAGAGACTGGACAGAACAGGAGAGGATCCAGGGACAAAACATGCTTCTGCTTAACGACCGTCTGGTTTTGCGTGCCAGTAAACGAAAGAGAGCCCGCAGCACGGCGACTTGATAGAATCTTCTTGATTCCATAATGGTGAAAAACATAACCAGATGCGACAACTAACACACATTCATGAAGTCATGTAATTTGGAGCAGTCACCAAACCTCCACGAACTACTGGGAACAGGGCCAGCTAATGTTTGTTTAGGCTACCTTTAAATTCCTCTACAGTTTCCCGTCCCAATAAAATAGAAGGACGTTTATTCTAACTAGACACAACCCGAGTTTGAAAGAACCTAGCTCTTAACACTAGCCTACCTATATCCTGCTTCAGTTTCATGTAATGGCAACGCAAGTTGTCTCGTGTAGCTGGTTCAAAGAGACAAGTGCGCCTAACACCACTAAGGCACTTAGGAATTTGAAATTCTAAATTAAGGCTTGTTTCAATCTAAGTCCTATTATTGAAAACAAACCCAAGTAAAGTAGTTCAAAAGCAAAGAGATCTCTTTTCCATTATTCTCATCAGGCCAGTGCAGCAAGAAGAAAAAACATACAACGTGGTAAGATGCTGTCAGCTACACTGAGGACAGCTAAGCCCAAAGTTTGAACGAAGTCAGTAGGTCAGATCAATGCCTAGGTCGATTCACTCAGGGTAGGCCCCGCAGCCGATTGTACGCCGCCTAGATTAGATCTCGCAGCCGATTGTAAGTAGTTATTGTCCGATCCCGAGTAGCTACCGCGTGGCTAGGGTAGGAGAAGCATTTGTACAAAAGCTCGTTGCTTGCAAAGCTCGGGCTGGGTCAGTCTGACGGAAACTGCTTCAGCTATCTTCAAGAGACGCTTTCTGAGAGCTTTTGGATGGTGTGGTGAGACAAAGTAGAAGATCTCAAACGCATTCAATGTTTGAATTTCGTGTCCGTTTAGGATCAGATGTCCCATGATAGCACTGTTTATGTTTCTGCCCATGCCTCTTCTTGACGAGCTTGGGTAGTGCTCTGCTACCCGTTATGACAGACGCCTGGTTGTATGCCCCAGGTATCCTGCATCAAGGGTGCAAGTAAATTGATACATGACGTATGATTGGGACAAGTCCAGGAGTTTGCCTTTGAGACACGGGGTAATAAAGGAAGCGGTCTGAGTAAGTACATGTAGATAGGCGGCTGGGTAGGTTTTGGACACTGCGGCTGAGAGTCTCTTATTCAGGAGGTCCAAGGCAACATATCTGAATGGCACAGATAGAAGCACATCCTTTTTGGTACGGTCAAGGTGATTTTGGAGCACAAACGAATTGTGGCATGCTTTCTAATAATCTGAACGGGATATGCGTTCGCTTGCAATATCCTGAAGGTATGATGTTTCTCTTCGTCCAGCATCTCTGGGCTGCAGATTCTGGCAGCAAGGTAGTGTAAGCAACGCACTAAGGTCCGCTTGTGTTGCAAAGGCACAAAGCTTAAAATGCGTGTGTACTGACCGGTCCGTGTCGGCTTCCAGAAAATGCTTCTCGCTAGAGAGTTGTCGTTCTGTCGCCTCAGCAGGCCAGTCCTCCATCGCTTTACTTTTCACTGTTGAAATGTAACGCCGGTGGTGCGATATTGAATTAAGCTAAGCAACGCAAAACGTCTCTATCTGAATCACAAACAATGAAAGTGCCACCCACATATCGCAACCACGAATCAAACGTTCAGACAACCGGTCACAAAAGTCCCCGTTCAAGCTCTGCCAGGAAAACGTCAGAACGGAGCGGTCCTAGGGGGACTCCATCGCCGCATCGTCAATTTGCCTGTAATCGAATTCATAAAATAGGAATTGCATGTTAAAAGTGCACCGTAAAATAAGTTTCCTTCTTGTGCTTGGCGGAATCCCGAGGTATATATTCTTGGTGGTAATGTGATCATAAAGAAAATTGACGGTTTTTAGCAGTTGCACGTTAGTGAAGTGTGATTCAACACCAAATGAAAGCATGAGTTTGCCGCGCACGTTGAGGTGTTCTACGTGTTTCGCGAATGCAAAAGCGTCTTCTATTGAGTGCGTATAAAGTTCCTTGCCTACTGGCTCCAACACTTCCACTAAGCACTTAGCGACGAATTGGAAGGCGGAAAAGGACATGTCAATAGTTGGGCGTAGAGGTACGTTTGACATGTGCACTTTCAAAAGTCCGTATAGTCTAGGAGGATGCGATCGTACTGGAGATAACCGATCGAGTAACGAGTCGGCTATCAGATTTGCCTGTCTTAACTCACTTAGCCGTTTGGTGATCTTATCCTAATCCTGTGTGGATTTATCCTTTTGAACTACATCGTGTGCATGCTTGCTCGGAACTTTCAAAATAGGTAGATACATGGAAAGGTAATCAGATGTATTCATTTATACCTCACAAGAACCTTTCTCTGGTCTGAAAAGTAACATCTCCTGATTCACTGTCAATTCTTTGACTGCGGCTCTATGTTTCTCAGAAATATGTTTGATACTTTTGCTTCGCTTAATTGTTAAAAGTTTTGAAACTGAATCATTTGGAACAAAACATTCTGCTGCACCCAGAAAGGTATGTTTATAGCCTCTCCAAAGTACAACTTAATCAGCTCCATTTAGAGACTTTGTCACTTGCACCAAAATTTTGTTTTTCGCAACCAACCAATGGGCAAATTAATAGCGAAATCTAATTCGAACACCCAATGCATCTGCCAACTGAACTGACGCCTACGTCTTCAATTTTCAATGCTACGACTGACATATTCACATGTAAATGTTACCTTTATAATAATAATAATATAATATAATAATAATAATAATGTGTCAGCTGTACGCCATAACGGCGTTTCGCCGCCGCGCGAACACTACCAGTCGCGCGGATTGAGTATACCGCGAGGACGCCCACCCCTTCGCGGATTCGAACTGGTGACCTTATGGTTGCAAAGCAAACGTGCAGACCACTCGGCCACCGGCCGTCTGTTACCTTTATAACCACGTTGATTCACCTCGCCCAAGATTGTTTTGGTTGTAAAGCGAAAGTATCGAACATATTTTCTAAGGAACATAAAGACGCCGTCGAAGAATTGTGAGCGAATCCCAAACTGATACCATCTAGACCAGACAAGGTACTCGTTAGGTATAAATGAATACATCTGATTACCTTTCCATGTATCTACCTATTTTGAAAGTTCCGAGCAAGCATGCACACGATGTAGTTCAAAAGGATAAATCCACACAGGATTAGGATAAGATCACCAAACGGCTAAGTGAGTTAAGACAGGCAAATCTGATAGCCGACTCGTTACTCGATCGGTTATCTCCAGTACGATCGCATCCTCCTAGACTATACGGACTTTTGAAAGTGCACATGTCAAACGTACCTCTACGCCCAACTATTGACATGTCCTTTTCCGCCTTCCAATTCGTCGCTAAGTGCTTAGTGGAAGTGTTGGAGCCACTAGGCAAGGAACTTTATACGCACTCAATAGAAGACGCTTTTGCATTCGCGAAACACGTAGAACACCTCAACGTGCGCGGCAAACTCATGCTTTCATTTGGTGTTGAATCACACTTCACTAACGTGCAACTGCTAAAAACCGTCAATTTTCTTTATGATCACATTACCACCAAGAATATATACCTCGGGATTCCGCCAAGCACAAGAAGGAAACTTATTTTACGGTGCACTTTTAACATGCAATTCCTATTTTATGAATTCGATTACAGGCAAATTGACGATGCGGCGATGGAGTCCCCCTAGGACCGCTCCGTTCTGACGTTTTCCTGGCAGAGCTTGAACGGGGACCTTTGCGAACGGTTATCTTTAATTTGATTTCCTGATTTACGCTGAGAATTTGGCTTCTACTATTTTTTATCTGTTAGCTCAGCTTTGTTGTTTTTAAGGTCATCTACTAACTGGAAACTGGAAACCTTTTTTTATA